GTTTCCCTTTCCTTAATGAGGGATGAAAATCGAGGGTTGGTTATTAATTAACAGAGTGATTAATGAGTTCCCATCCTCGCTGGTGGCGCAGATGGGATCCTGCTGGGATAAACTCCTGCTGCTCTGACCCAAACCCTAGCCCTAACCTAAACCTAATCCTAACTCTAACCCTAACCCAAACCTTAACCCCTAACCCAAACTCTAACCTAAACATAACTCTAACCTAAACCTAGCAAAACCCCTAACCCTAACCTAAACCTAATCCTAACTCTAACCCTAACCCTAACCTTAACCCAAACCCTAACCCTAACCTAAACATAACCCTAACCTAAACTCTAATCCTAAATTAAACCTAACCCTAACCCTATCCCAAACCCTAACCCTAACCTAAACATAACCCTAACCCAAACCCTAATCCTAAATTAAACCTAACCTTAACCCTATCCCAAACCCTAACCCTAACCTAAACATAACCCTAACCCAAACCCTAACCCTAATGTAACCCTAACTCAAACTCTAACCCAAACCCTGACCCAAACCCTAATTTTAACCTAAACCTAACCCTAACCTAAACCGAACCCAACCCCTAACCCTAACCTAAACCTAATCCTAACTGTAACCCTGACCCAAATCCTACCCCCTAAACTCATCCTAACCTCCCCCGTCTACCTAACCCTAACCTAACCCTAACCCACTCTTAACTCCCTAACCCTATCCCTGATTCAACCCTGAACCTAACCCTAAACCCTAACCCTAACCGAACCCAACCCTAATCTAACCCTAACCAAAACCCTAACCCCAACCTCCTCCGGCTTTCCTAACCCTAACCAACTCCTAACTCCCTAAACATAGCCTTATCCCTAATTCAACCCTAAGCCTATCCCTAAATCAACCCTGAACCTAACATCAAACCCTAACCCTAACCTAACCCTATCCCAATCCTAAATCTAAACCCAAACCCTAACACTAACTTGCTCCTGCCTACCTAACCCTGACCTAACCCACTCCTAACTCCCTAACCCTATCCCTAATTCAACCCTGAACCTAACCCTAAACCCTAACCCTAAACTAATCCTAATCTAACCCTAACCTAAACCCTAACCCCAACCTCCTCCTGCCTCCCTAACCCTAACCTAACCCACTCCTAACTCCCTAACCCTATTCCTAACCGAAACCCAATCCAAACCCCAACCCAATCCCAACCCTAACCCTAATCCTAACCCCAATCCTAATCTAACCCAAACCCCAAACCCTAACCTCCTGCTGCTCTAACCTGCTCCTGCCTCCCTAATCCTAAGCCTAACCCCAACCCTAACCCTAACCCAAACCTAACCGGGGCAGGGGGGAGACGATCCCACTCTCCCTCATTTCTGGTGGCAATTCCCGGGAGATTTGGGAAAACCGCAGCAGAAAGAGAACTTTTCCTCTGGGAATTGCTGTTCCTGGGCAGGAAATTTCCCTTTTTCTTCTTTCTCCCATTAGAGGGGTGAGATCCCCCCTTGCCCCACACTCATTTTTTTTGTCTCCTCTGAAAATGTGGCCCCAAAAGATTTGAGTGTTGGAATTTGGGGATATTTGGATTGGAGCTGGGCCTCATGACACCCCCACCCCAGGCAGCCCCTTCCCACAGCCCAGACCCCGAATTAGAAAACCTCAAAAACGAACATTTTCCACCCAAAATTCCCTTTCCAGCTGTGTTTTTTCATTGTCCCGGGAGTGTTTTTGCCCCCATCCCCGAGTTCTCCCACCACAGCTTTCACCCAATCCCGATTTTCCCCCTCCCCCTTACGGGAATTTGCCCTTTCCCAAAATGACTCCCACCCACCTGGAGCCCGACCCAGCCCCAAAAACCACACCCCACCCACGGGCCCCACCAGCACCCTGCAATTAAAGTTATTTCGGGGACAGAGCCACATTCCTGCCCTGGAGAGGGCTGGATCCGAAAAGGAAACTCCACATAAATAAATAAAACTCCATAAATCCCTGGAGACCATCGGGGAGGGGGGGATTAATCACCCCCAGAGCTAAAAACGCCCTCGAGAGAGTCCACGTGGGTGGATTTTCCACTCTCACCCCTCTCCAGAGATTCAGGATCAGCCCAAAATCCTCTCGTGGCTCACCCCAAACCCTCCCATTGGGATTTTTTGTGGTGTTTTGGGCACCATGGATCCCAAACTGTTGACTCTTGACAAACTTTGACTCTTGACAAAAACCATTTGCCTCGGAAATTTGATTTCCCAGCTGGACTCCTCCTTCTGGTCAATTCCGGCCGTTCGGTAGCGATCAATGGGAAGGAATTGATGGGTTCGTTGCTGCAGTTTTGGGATCTGCAGGTCCCGGGGGCTGGGTGGGGAATGTCCAGGGTCCATCCCATGGGTCAAAGTGCAAATAAATGGATTCTCCATGGGGAAGATGAGTCCTACTCCAGATGGGGCAGGACATGGGTCAGATCTTCCACATGTCCCACTGCACCCATTCGTCGAATCCAGCTAGGGGAAGTCCAGTGTCCATCCCATGGGTCAAGCTGCAAATCCATGGATTCCCCATCAGGGGAAGATGAATCCTACTCCACATGGGTGGGTCAGACATCCCGTGTGTCCCACTGCGTCCATTCATCGAGTCCAACCAGGGAATGTCCAGAGTTCATCCCGTGGGTCAAGGTGCAAATCCATGGATTCCCCATCAGGGGAAGATGAATCCTACTCCAGATGGGCCAGGACATGGGTCAGATATTCTGTGTGTCCTGCTGCGTCCATCCATCCAGTTGGAATGTCCAAGGTCCATCCCATGGGTTAAGACACAAATCCATGGATTTCCCATCAGGTTAACACAATTCCTACTCCAGATGGGCCAGGATGTGTCCCACTGCATCCATCCACGGAGCAGGAATGTCCAGGGTCCATCCCGTGGGTCAAGGTGCAAATCCATGGATTTCCCATCGGGTTAACACCATTCCTATTCTAGGATGGGTTAAGTATTCCGCTTGTCCTGCTCTGTCCATCCATCAAGTCCAATTGGGGAATGTCCAGGTTCCATCCCATGGGTCAAGGTGCAAATAAATGGATTCTCCATGGGGAAGACAAGTCCTACTCCAGATGGACCAGGACAGGGGTCAGATCTTCCACAAGTCCCACTGCGCCCATTCATTGAATCCAGCTAGGCAAAGTCCAGTGTCCATCCCATGGGTCAAGGAGCAAATCCATGGATTCCCCATCAGGGGAAGATGAATCCTACTCCACATGGGTGGGTCAGACATCCCGTGTATCCCACTGTGTCCATTCATCGAGTCCAACCAGGGAATGTCCAGTGACCATTCCGTGGGTCAAGGTGCAAATCCACGGGTTTCCCATAGGGAAGATGAGTCTTACTCCAGATGGGGCAGAGCATGGGTCAGATATTCCATGACTCCTGCTCTGTCCATCCATCAAGACCAGCTGGGGAATGTCCAAGGTCCACCCCATGAGTTGAGGTGCAAATCCATTTCTCATTTCCCATCTGGTTGAGTCCTACTCCAGATGGGCCATGACATGGGTCAGATATCCCGCTTGTCCCACTGCATCCTTTGAGGCCATCGAGTGGAAATATCCAGAGTCTGTCCCAAGGGTTGAGATGCAAATCCATGGATTTCCCATCGCAAAGATGAGTCCTACTCCAGATGGGGCAGAGCATGGGTCAGATATTCTGAGTGTCCCACTCCGTCCATCCATTGAGTCCAGCTGGAGAATGCGCAGGCTCTGTCCTGTGGGTCGAGGCATAAATCCATGGATTTCCCATTGAATTAACATAATTCCTACTCCAGATGGGCCAGGATATGGGTCAGGTATCGCCTGTGTCCCATTCCGTCCATCCATCGAGTCCAACTGTGGAAGTTCAGAGTCCATCCCATGAGCTGAGCTGCAAATCCATGGATTTCCCATCTGGTTGAGTCCTACTCCAGATGGGCCAGGACATGGGGCAGACATCCCGCATGTCCCACTGCATCCTTCAAGGCATCCAGTAGGAATGTCCAGGGTCCATCCGATGTGTCAAGCTCAAATCCATGGATTTCCCATTGACTTAACACAATTCCTACTCCAGATGGGCCAGCACATGGGTCAGATATTCCGTGTGTCCCGCTGCCTCCGCGGGGAAAATCTCCCGGCACAGCTTGCAGGCCGGCGCAGCCTCGCTGCTCCCGAGTGCTCCATCCTCCAGCGCCCAGCCCGGGGTCCAGGATGTCTGTGAAGAAAAAAGGGAATTTGGGGACAGAGGGACCCCCAGGAGTGCCCTGGGGCTGCCCCCCAAAACCTGACCCCAATTTTTTGGGCCTGAAAAGGGCTGGGCTGGAGATCAGGAGAGCTCGAGCTGCCTCTCCCTCCATCCTCAATCAAACCCACCGGACAATCCCGTGTCCATGTGGCTCCTGAGCCTTCCCCAGCACTCCCAACAAGCCAAACTGGGTGGAAAAGAGGCTCTGAGCAGCAAACTGGAGCACATTTGTCACTTGTCCCCATGCCATCGTCATCTGAGTGCTGAYAGGAGCTTCCCCAGCCGGACATGGYCYCATTTCCCTCTTCTCCTCCTCAAAAAACTCCCATCTGAAAACAGCCCAAAATCAGGAATTCCCTGGGAATTCCCCACCCCTGAAGCCTGAAAGAATTTTTAATGGCTTCGTTTAGGAAAAGGAATGAAAGAAAATGGGATCAGCAACCCGGGGACCCTGGATGGGAAAGTCAGGATTGGGGTGAAGRTTCTCCAGGAGAATCCGGGAGCCAGAGCTGGCGAGGTCTTTAAAAATCTTTTTATGATTTTTAGGATAATTATAGGATTCATTAGGAATGATTTGGAAATGAGTTTTGGGGTGCAGAGGTCAATGAGAATGAAGGAAATACTGTTTAATTGGAAAATCCAAAGGAGGCTGAGAGAATTTTCACCCCAATCTTCCAAGGAATCCCTAAATCCTCCAGGAGTTCACGGGAGGGATGTCCTGGCTGGGCAGCCAGAACCCAAATCCCCCAGAAACCCAAAAATTGGGTGCCCCGAGAATTTTTAAGGACACAGGGAGTTTTTAAAGACACACTCCCCACTCTGCTGCAGTTCCCGTGTGTCCAGGGCTGGTGGAGAGGAGGGCAAAGATTCCCTAAAATCCCACACAGACCGAATTCCCTCCCCAATTACCTTCACAGGCCCTCGGATCTCCACGGGAGCCTCTGCAGGGAGAGCCCCTTCCCTGGGAGCATCTTCTGGGGTTTCATAGAGATCCAGAAGKTTTGGGAAGGAGCCCCCAGCCCCTGGGTTTGGGATCTCCAGCTCCTGGTGGCTGTGGGGAGCTCTCCCTCCTTCCTGGGGCTCGGGGAGGATCCAGGGTTTCATCCAGGCGGGGACATCGCCCTTCTCCACCCCCGTGGGAGCATTCCCGGGGTTCGGGGAGAGCCTGCTGGGATCCTGGGGCTGTTCCATGGGATGAGCGGAACCTTCCAGGCTGGGGTTTGGGGATGTCAGAGCCCCGTGGTGGCTTTGGTGGCTCTCAGGTGACCTTTGTCCTTCCCCCGTCACCGCGTCCTCCGTGCACTGGATGGGCAGYGACACCGGGATGTCTTTGGGGGAAAGTGAGCGAGGCAGAGGGGTCATTCCCGAGCGTTTGAGGGGTTAATTTTCCCTTCCCGTTGCCCCATTTTCCTGTTGGGTTTGGAGAACCCCCATTTTGGGTTTGGGGAACCCCCATTTTGGGTTTGGGGAACGCCCGGGCTGGCAGAGCTTCCTTGTCCCAGCAGAGAGAGGACACAGAGGGGGCTGAGGGCTGGAGGGGCATCAGCTCCCCCAGGAGACTGAGAGGGATGTCTCTGTGTCCCCAAAATCCGGGTTCACCCCAGGAAAGGCCTTGCTTTAGGTCCTGGAAGGACACAGGTGAAAAGGAGGAACCCCCAAGGCAAGGAGACTGCAATTTCCCAGCACAATTTTGTCCAAATCGATCCCTCCCGGCCACAAAATTCCCATTTTAGGGTTGGGGAAATGGTGCCAGACCCCGTGGGAGCGATGTGAGTGTTTGTGGGGGGAAGGGAGATACGGGATCGAGGAATCCTTGGAAAAATTGGGATTTCTGGGTGTTTTCGGGGCTGTGGATCCTTCCCCACCCGCTGCATCCCATTCCAGATGATGGTCCCAGGACCAGGAGTGTCCAAAAAACACGAGGGGCTCAGGGCACCTTCCTGCTCAAAGCCCCTTCACCGGGAAAACTCCTGCAGGGAAATTCCTGTGGGCACCGGGACCGAGGCGGGAGTGACCCCAAATCGGGACYGAATCAGGAGTGACCCCACAGGGTAAAGGAGGGAGTGACCCCAATGGGATAAAGGTGGGAGTGACCCTGATGGGATTGGGGCGGGAGTGACCCTGTGTTGGCATAAAGGCGGGAGTGACCCTGTATCAGGATAAAGGTGGGATTGTCCCCATCTGGGTCAAGATGGGAGTGACCCCAATGGGATAATGGGAGGGACCGAGGCAGAGTGACCCCAATGGGATAAAGGGGGGAGTGACCCTGATGGGATAAAGGTGGGAGTCACCCTGTCGGGATCAAGGTGGGAGTGACCC